AGCAAGAATTATTGGATAAAATTCAAAGACTTGAAAGTGAGGTTGAATTCTTAAGAAAACAGCAGACTCAACACATTACTCAAATCGAAGTTAAAGAAAATAAGAGATGAGCTTGATTAAAGTAAAGAAGTAATTTAAATTTCATAAGTGATTTTTGCTTTATTTAGATACTCCTGGAGAGTTTGGGTATTATTGATTTTAAAAATGTAAGGGGCAATTTTCTCTCCTTGAGCTTTCTTTAAAATACTTCTAATAGTGCTGTAATTCTTTGGTTCCATAGTGGATTTAATGTAAATTAGTTTCATATTATATTTTTTATATAGAGATAATCTTATTATTATATATATTAACCCTGTTATGGTTTATATTTATCACATTCTGGTATGATAAAGTGAGCATTACATTAACAAGGCAAAACATCATCAGTCACCCTGGTCAATTTTACAGCTACATCATCATCAGCCTCTCATTTATGAAATGTTCACTTTGTCTGGTTTTGTTACAGCATGCCCCATTTTAGAGGTTGAAATAGAACCGGGAGTTGTCAATACCGGACGGCGTCTCTGACAGATTTCAGAAACAAATCAGCAGCTTAATTGAGGCCGAAATTGTTTAGTTCTGCCTGTGTTAGTTACATGCTGGCATGATATAAACTTAAAAATGTAATTTACATAATTTTCTGTTGTGAATAATAATAATCAAAACGTCATTAGTCAAATTAGTTAATATTCAGCCACACCAGCCTCTATTTATGTTTATTGTACATAACAAAATGTTCACTTTGTTGCAGTCCCCACCCCTTGAAATGGAAGGTGCATTGTATTTTCACATATTTAGAATGCTTTTCTACCTTAGGATTTGACCCGTTTCGGGATTGTCACATTATAATATCTTGCATGACAATCTTGAAATGGTCCTAACAACGCGGAAATACGGAAAAAAAAAAGAAGCACCACTCGCCATATTAATACACACACACACACACACATACTATCCGTCCAAAACCACCTGCGGTTCGGATTATCAATATAATTTCATAACCATATTTATTATTCCAGAAATAAAAATTATGGTCACCTTGTGGCGCAGACCAAAGGTACAACAAATAAAATAAGGTTGTAACAAACACAAGGCCGGAATTTTTGTCATGTCTTCCAAAGCATTGTTAGAGAAAAGTATTCAAAATGGCTCTATAAAACTCTATCCAAAGGAACACGTCTTAAGCCATACCGTAATTGGTAATGGGAGTCTTGGAGTAGTATATAAAGCGACATTAAAGCATTCCGAAAGCGTTGTTATAAAGTCACTGTTACATAACAGAACGAGACCAAAGGAAGAATTCTACAGACAATTCTACAGACATGTGTGCAATTAATTTGACAAGTTGAAGAATTTGTTGCTATTAAGATAATTGCAGAATGTGACACTTATTTTGTTTACGCATAAAATTATAGCTTCAAATTCACCAACAAGTCGCTGACCATCCAAGTATCATTCGATTCTTGGGTTTAAGCAAAGGTATATCTAGCAAAACATGCGTCCTGATCACACACAACCAAACGATTGCAAAATAATGCTTTCATTCGCATTCTGTCAGATACGCTCGACAATTACTGTATGATCTTTGAGTTCGCCGATGGGGGGACATTACGCGAGTATTTAGGAATTTGTTATCATGAATTGTCGTGGACAAACAAGCTTGCACTCGCTTTGGGTATTTCCAGTGGCTTGAAGCATTTGCATGGATTGGGAGTAGTCCATAAAGATCTGGTAATGTATATTAACGTGCCAACTCGTGCTCTCGCAATTAAGGATACGTTCTTATAAGTATCTAGTACAAATGAAGAGTGCTGTCGGTATTATGAGTTTTCTAATTTCTACATCTTCTCATTATCTTTAGCATTCCAATAATATTCTTATCCATAAAGGTGTTGCCAAAATTACTGACTTTGGATTATCGGATATGGTTGTATACCTAGCATCGACATCCGAAAATGAAGGAAAGGCAGCGTATATGGATTCATTGTTATTTACTAAATCCAGTTACTCTCGCGGGGAAAAGTCTGACATCTTTAGTTTAGGAGTAATATTATGGGAAATATCGAGTGGAGGACCACCGTGCGAAGAATTAACAACACCTGCTGACATAAGTAGACTTCGCCTAAATGGGTTTCGTGACAGACCTAGTTTTGGAACTTCTGAGGAATACATTGGGCTTTATTCAGAATGTTGGGATGAGAACCCTGAAAAGAGACCCCTTTGCAAAGCAGTATGCAGCAGATTAAAGTTGTTGGCAAGAACTCAAGGTCAGCATTCGTTAGTCGATCAATATGGTAATTTATTGTACAGTCTCAACAAATCATTACGGGTTGAACCAAACAATGTCTCTGCATTGAGGGAAAGAGGAGACTTGTATCGAATGCTCAATCAATACGACAACGCGTTGAAGGATTTCGACAGTCTATTGGAAATTGAAGAAACTGACGCATGGGCATTGAGTAGAAGAGGGGACGTCTACCGCATGCTTGATCAATATGACAGTGCATTAAGTGATCTCAATAAATCTTTGGAAATTGAACCCAATAACGCGTGGGCATTGAGCAGAAGAGGAGATGTCTACCATGTATTTGAAAGATATGACGATGCGTTGGATGATCTTACCAAGTCATTAGAGCTTGAACCAAATAATGCATGGGCATTGAGAGCAAGGGGCTCTGTCTATCGCAAACTTAAGAACTATGACAGTGCATTAATTGATTTCTCCGAGTCCCTGGAGATTGCACCGGACAATGCATGGGCATTGAGAGTAAGGGCTAGTATCCATCGCAAGCTTGACGAACATGAGAATGCACTGAAAGATCTCAACAAATTGTTAGAAATCGAGCCAAACAACTTGTGGGCTTTGAACAAAAGGGGAGACGTTTATCAAATGCTTAATCAATATGGCAATGCATTAAACGATTTCAATGAATCATTGCGAATTAAACCAAATTGCGTACAGGCATTGAACGCAAGGGGAGACATTTATCGCAAGCTTAATCAATACGCTGAGGCACTGAGAGATTTCAATAAATCATTGAAGATCAAACGGAATGATCCATGGGTATTGAGTAGGCGAGGAGATGTCTATCGCATACGTTGTCGGTATGGCATTGCATTGAAAGATCTTCATAAATCCTTATTTATTGAACCAAACGATGCATGGTCATTGAGTAGAAGAGGAGATATTTACCATGCTATTAATCTATATGACGATGCCCTGGAAGATTTTGACAGGTCATTGATGCTTGAGCCAAATAGTGCATGGACATTGAGAGCAAGAGGGGACGTTTACCGCACGCTAAAGAATTATAATGAGGCGTTGAAAGACTTCGACAGGTCGTTAGAGATTGAACCTAATAATGCTTGGGCATTAAGAACACGAGGAGGTCTCTATTTCAAGCTTGATATGTGCGATCTTGCATTGAACGATTTTAACAAATTGTTGGAGATCCAACCGAAGGACCCATACGCATTGAGTAGAAGAGGCTATATCCATCATTTCTTCGGTCAGGATGACAAGGCAATGGATGATTTCGACAAATCCTTAGAGATTGAACCAGATAATACTTGGGCATTGAATAGAAGAGGATATATCTTTTACTGGTGCGGCGAGCACGACGAAGCACTGACTGACGTTGAGCGGTCATTGAGGATTAAACCAGATAGTAAAATGGCACTGAAAGTGAGAGGATCAGTCAAATATGCGCTTCATTCTTTTGGCGAAGCATCAAAGGATTTCAGCAGATTAATAAGGCTCAACCCGAACGATGCTTGGGCATTGAGTCGAAGGGGAGATGTGTCTCGCAAACATAAATGTTATTTTGACGCATTGAGTGACTTCAATCTAGCGTTGGATATTGAACCAAATAATGCATGGATGTTGAGTAGAAGAGGAGCTGCCTTGTACGAGCTTCATAACTATCGTTATTCATTACGTGAATTCAATAAAGCCTTGGAAATTGAGCCGAACTATGTATGGGCGTTGAGTAGAAGAGGAGAAGTCCATCGACTGCTTAATAATCATGCATCTGCGTTAAATGATTTCGATAGATCATTAGAAATTGATCCAAGTTGCAAATTCGCTTTGAAAGGAAGAGGAGACGTCTATCGCAAGCTTTGTCAATATGAAAATGCATTGGATGATCTCAATAGATCGTTGAGTCTTGATCCATATGATGTGTTTGCGCTGAGTAGAAGGGGAGACACTTATCGTCATCTTAAACGGTATGATGAAGCTAGAATTGATCTCAGTAGATCAATATCTATTGATCCACATGGTGTAGTTGCAGCATGGGCATCTAGATCAATGCGGCAAATTCCGTCGACTCATCCAAGAAGTTGAAATATTTATTAACACTGGCATTCACATGTAATTAATTTCAAGTTATATTTTATCCGAATCTTTTTATCTACATTGTAAAAAAGAAGACATACATCGCACCTCTGAGGTTTGCTTGCTCTTATTTATTATATTTGTTAGGCAGCTGCATAAAATGGCAAATGGTAACATTTCCCGAAATAAAAATTTCATTGTTATGAAAGGATTTCTCCTTACAAATGATGCAGTAATAAAGCAACTCTATAATTATTGTAAATTGCGTTTCAATTAAGAATGAATTCAGAGTTAAAGTTTAGGCGGGTACTGTGCATTCTAAATAAAGTGACGATGCGGCCGATCGCATTAGATCATGGTACGACCCCGAATTAGCATAATAATAATAATAACAAAAATCTTCTTTTTTACATAAAAATGAGCTTGATCCGAAAATTTGCATCGACTCGCCTATCTCTCGCGTTCCGTTACATCAAAAACACATTTACCACATGCTCTCACCACAACGGTCTCTACACATCCGCCGACTTTCCACTACGCCGATTGCATCAAACACATGAATTTCCACTTTTCCCATCTACATCTACTCTTTCCCGATTCCATCCACTCACATTTTCCAAGTCCCAAATCCGAAACCTATCGACCCCTGTCGACAAAGGCTTTTCAAGATCCACGCTCCGTCCTCGTCTCCGGCATCGATCACGCCCAAAACTCGTTTCCGTTCTTCCGCCGTCTTCTGGCCGTCTTGCCAACGGCACGCCTCGAAATCCAGCCGCTGTTCGCTCCGTCTACAATCCTGTCCTCAAAAGATTTACCAAGAAACACCCACCGTCCAATATCCTTCCGCGAATAGATGAAAATTCGGGATTGGGATTTTTTAAAATTACCTTGCGTAGAAGTGTTATTGGAATTTCGAGGAGGTTGAGGAGGGTCGTAAGAGCATTGGGATTCGTAAAGTTGCATCAGACTGTTTATCATGCTCAGACACCGTATATAGCAGGCATGATTCTAAGGATAAAGGAACTGGTTGAGGTCGAAAATGTGGATAAGAAACCAGAAAAGAAAGAAAAGAGAGTTGTGGTTGAGAGAGGATACGTTGTTATTAAGAGGCAGGGTGGACAGATAAACCAATTGAACCAAATTGAGCCGGAGAGCCAGAATGGGCGAACTAACAAGATTAAGAACATCGGAACGGGCCTTGGAGAAAATAGATTTTTGTTGTTTGACGATGTTGATAAGAAGTAAGAGAATCTTTTGCAGATGAATATAAGAATGGCCAGATATCAAAATATGAACTTTGCTTTCAAGTCATCTGCTATAATTTTACTAATATCGGAATGCGATCCTTACGAATAAGTACAAAATTAAATTAAGTAACAACATCAGGCTTTGTTCTACCAGTATACTCGTTGATTTTAGAAATCTCAAGTGAAGCATCAATAAGTCCTTGCACGGCTGGAAGAGTCTCTAGATCATATTCGCTAGGATTCTTTGAGTATTTCTCAACGTATACTCTAATGGTAGCACCTTGACTACCAGTTCCGCTAAGCCTGATCACTATACGCGAACCGTCCGTAAAGTATATACGGATACCCTTTTGTTAGAGTGGAGACAATGGGATTAGATATGGGCAGAAGTTAAAGCGCCACCAACTGATATCGTTATAATTACCTGGTGGGATGATATACTTCCATCAACGGGATCTCTGTATTCAAAGTCGTCTCCATCCTTAACGGTGAATTCGCCGAAGGTTTTACCAAAGAACGTACCCTTCGATGGCCCAACTAGATCACGCAAATGATCTATCACTCTGTTAGCTTTTTCAGACTCAACTTCTTCATAATCTGTTCTGTTAACATTGGATACTTTGCGTTTCAATATGTTTGAATTAATTGTAAAGAAGATTTGAGTTCAATGATGGAGGAAATTACCTCAAATAAAAGTAACGACCGTATTTCTCGTAATGCATTCTAAGAATGTCTTTGATGCCCGAACCAGGTTTTGTTTCATTGACCTTAGCAATGATGTTCAACCAAGCTGCAAATAGCATAACTTATTAGAAATCGTTTGATAATTTTACAGATATCACTTTGTATAAACGTTATCAGTTCACGAGCTTTCACACCATAGCGAATGATTCTTCAATCACCTACCGAGTATAGCCCAAATGCCATCCTTTTCTCTAATACAATCCGCTCCGGTGCCAAAACTTTCTTCACCACAAATTGATAATCGGCCAGCATCCATCAAATTACCAAAGAACTTCCATCCTATATATAAATGTGTTCATCAATATCTCACTTGGGAAAAAATGTCGCCATATATGACTTACCGGTGGGTACTACAAACAAATCCACATTCTTATCCTGTGCTACTAAATCTAAAGCCCTACTCGTAGGCATACTCCTCGCAACACCCTTCAAACCCGTACTCTGAAAATACGGAATAATACTGGCGTATTCGGCAATAATTGCCACAGAATCAGATGGCACTACAAATGCACCCTTTCCATAGATCATATGCCGATCGCCGTCGCCATCGAAAGCAGCACCAAAAGGAATGTCCAGTTCTTCAATACGATCAACCAAACTCTTGGCATATACGAGATTGGGATCGGGATGACTCCCTCCAAAATCTGGAAGCGGGACATCATTCTGGACTGATGATCGGGGAAGGCCAAGTTCATTTACAAAAATGCGTATGGCATATGGACCGGTGACTAAATACGAATGGAAGAGAAGAAAATTATATAAACGATATACGCAAATATTATGATATGGTTAGTATTTCGACAGATACGATACCTCCGTGCAAGCTGTCAACTAGCACTTTATAATTAGGATTCTTGACAAAGAAGTTCTTGATCAGGTCAAAGTCAAAAAGCTCTTTAACTAGTTCAACATAATCATTCACTGGATTGATGATTTCAATGGTGAAATTTCCAAAGGTCTGCTTTCCAAGAGAAGCGAGACTGACCTTGGAGATCAAAGTAAATATAAATATATGGATGCATATAGACTGATAATGTTACAAAACTACACTTTTGGTTCCATACTTCAGGAATATTGGCTTCATAATACTGATTGATATTCCTAGATATCTCATATACTCTATTTGTAACAGCCTCTGGCGCAGAACCACCATTGCTACTATTGAACTTTATTCCAAAGTCATGGTTGGGGCCTATTTACAATACGTAATGAATGGGAAAAATAGCACTGATAGATAAATATGATAACGATCCGCTTGATAGCTTTTTATACAAATCAATTTTTTACCTCCAGGATTATGAGATGCAGTTAAAATTATCCCGCCATTAGTCTGACGTTTCCTGATAATGTTGGACGTTGCAGGAGTAGAGAGAATACCATTTTGACCAACAATCAACTTGGCAACCTAAACGTTTTGCGTAGATCAAATGTTCCAGTTCTTATACTAACGAGTATCCCGCTATCCAAACAGTTTTGGTTCCCAGAAACAAACCTCGTTTCCGGCAGCAAGTCGAATAATGATCTTAATGGCATCTTCCGAATAATACCTTCCATCACCGCCCACCACTAACGTAGCCCCTTTGGGTCCAGGCGATGGCATGGCATCGAATATCGCTTGAATAAAATTTGCTGTGTAATTCTCTTGCTGGAAAACCTTCACGCGTTTTCGTAGTCCGCTTGTCCCGGGCTTTTGCCCTTCGTACGGAGTCGTTGGGACAGTTTTTACTGTGAAGGTTGACATAATTGCTGGAGTAGAAGCAACAAATCAAATACGATCCATTTAAGTTAAGGGTGTATTTATATCGACCCCATTAGGTTACACGTAGGCTGTTCTGTTGGTTAAAGTTTGCACTAGTCTCAAAATAGTGGATCAATTGCATTACATATCGGTACAATTCTGTTATACTAGATAATAAAGTATGTTTTATTTATCTTTCGTCACTATCATCCCCAGTGCATTACGCCGCGGAAATGCCTTTTTTGATGCATCTGTGTTGGTATCACGAACTTTATGGATCTATTATAAATACATATAATTGATAAGTAATAGTCCTTTTTCAAACAACCTGTCTTTTACTTACCATAACAGACGGCGATTCAGTAATTGAAGGCCTGCGCTTCTTTGTAGTATCTGTCTCTATCGTTGTGATCGTTGTGAGGACAGTATCGAGAGTATGATTGTGTTCTATCTGTTTGAGAATTTCCTATTTCGACATAATACGATCACATGAATTACGTCATAATTCTACCCGTTCCCATGCAAGCCCCCACTAAACAAATACCTGCACTTTCTGGACATCATTGCGTAATGTGACACCTTGTGATTGGTTGACTTTGGCCCGACTTGTCACTTGACGTTTGCACTTAAGAAGATTGGTTGATATTGTAGTCGTAGAATTAAATTTGACCACTACATAGTTTTTGACTTACTGTTGTCATCTTTTGGAAAAACGATGCTAATTGCCCGTTCACTTCGTTGTAGTTCTTTGGAACTCTCACAAATGGCCTAACCCAAACGGGTAAGTGTGATAAATTTCTCGAGTTCGCAAACCTAAAACATGAGAAGAATGATCAGATCCAATAGACTCGCATAATAAGAGTGTTGCAGCTGAATTACCTGTTATCACATAAAAGTATTGCACCATAATCATTTTTATGGCGAATGACCCTTCCCAAGGCTAGCTCGGAATTGACATGAAATGTACATATTAGCCTGATGAGTCTACGTTAACAAAGCGCACAATAAAACTTACCTTGATTGACTGCTCGCACTGCTTGTTGTTGATACCACTCATCACCCGATAGTGCCTAGAATAAAGTCAGATCAGACAATGAGTCAATCCAAACAATAAATTCAGATCAGTCTTAAATACCTTCGCTCTCGTCTTTTGTTTTTTCGCTACTTCGTCTAAATACTGTCTTTTTAATACCACCTAATAAAGTCACAGAACCTATATGAGATTGCGATGTTGGATAATATCATTACTGAGACATGTTTACTTTTGGTTCACGAAATGGTGGGTACGGTATTCCTGTTATAATTACTGCTCTCCCCCGAGCATCGGAAAAGTCAAGACCTTCGGAGACTTTGCCGCGACAAACAGCGAAAAATATGGAACCATTCGAGTTGTCTGCAACCTTCATATTAAACTCTGCCATTGCCTAAAAAAGCCCTTCATTCAGTCAATATGTTTCATACAAAACAGAACAGGTTCGGCTTTATTTCTAACCTTGACAAATTCCTGTTTGTTTTTGGGTTCAATAATTGCTTGCTTGATATCTATAATCGAATCCCAAATACTCTTGCGGTTTCCACGAGAATGCTACAAACAAAACATGACACGTGAATACAATGTCTTAAGATAGCAACGCTTTTCGGCATCCAAATACCTTGCGCTTCCATATATTAATACAATCAGTCATAACGCCATAAGACGGGAAAAAAACGATCAATCCATCCGGAATAGTTCTACTAAAGTCAACTGTAAATTGTATGATTATTAATTCGAAAACGGCCTTATAAATGTCCCAGATATTTTCGTGAGTTGCTTACTAATGCATTCTCCTAAATCGGCTTGATAATTCTCGTCATTCCTATTATTATAGCTTGAGTTTAACGAAATTCTTGACGGCCCCTTGCAAACGATAGACACCATTGCCTGATCGGCGGAGATAACATGAGCACCCTCTAAGCGAACATTGAAATCACTAAGAATACGTCGAACGTTAATGATTATGTGACTCGATACTGACATGTTGGTGTAAAAACGTACAAACATACTTACATCTCAAGTTCAGTTGCAAACGAAGACAGCGGCGCCAAAGTACCACTGGCAAGAATGACAGATCGACACTTTCCACTGACAAGGTCTCTCATAGCCAAACCAGGACTGAAACACCAAAAGTTTACGATTCTACCATTCCCTAATTGTCAACAGAATATCAATATCGATATGTGAATATGTGGTATAAACAGCTGGTACGACTCAAGATAGTATCAACTACCCAATGATAATCGACCACCCTCCTTCTTTTCTAGCGAGACATGCAACTAACAAATTGACAACGTTTCAATTATAACTACAATTGGCAACAATAAAGTGAAACAGCAAACTGTAACATACCTTGTAATACTTGGATATCTGTTTACAATGTTCGGCTTCTGTTGAGCCTGCCTCACCAAAGACTATTTTCAAAGCTGATAAGAGGTGATCAAGCATGCAGCGAGAACGCTTTCGATCTACAAACAGACACCTTTGTGAGTATTATTTCACATTGGGTTGAGTGAACTTTTTATAGGCTTACCTAACAGGACCCGGTTGGCCGCTTCTTCCATGAGAATTTTCAAGCCTGGAAAAGTATTATAATTGATTTGTGCCTTTACGGGGCGCCACAAAACGTTAAGTTGTAAACGCGTCGTTGCAATTTTTACAATAAAAAGCTTGCTTATATACCTTATCCAAAATTTCATATATCTTTTCTCCTGGGTAACTTTGATCGGGTCTTGTGTGAACGTCAAGATTTTTAATTTCACAATCTAGTTTAGCCAATACATCTACACGATATAAAAACACGAGAAATCGTTATTACCCAGCTTTAATTATGGCATGGTAAACTTCTTATATGTGCTATTTACCTCTTAAAAGTTCAAAGTCCTTTGAGTTTATGTTGCCAGGAGATAATGTCTCGGTCATACAGTATTGCACTTCTTCAAGAGATCCAGTTATCTCTGACGACGTCATTTCAAAAGATGTGGCTTCGCAGCAGCAACCTTCCTATGATTTAGTTCCACTGAAAGCATTAGGTGATATTACAAACAAATATTTGAACCCAAGAAAGAATCTACGGACCAAATTATGGGCCTCGTCGAATATTATTATGGCATTGTTCACATCGATGTTCTGCGCTTTGCGAGCACTGGCATCAATCAAGTAGTTGTACGGCACAAATATGATATCTGCCGTGTTTTGATTTTCACGTGTGACATAGTAAGGGCAAGCTCTTTGGTAAAGCAGAAATTCCCAGTCAGCAAATGTTCTTTGAATAGTCATCATACACACACATCGACGCACCCATGATCCTTCCCGAAAGAAACGACTTCTTCAATGTCCATAATTTCTCGCTCAAACTTTGTATCTGTTTTTGTAACTACAAAATTGCAAACACAATTTATTGCCGTGAAATGACAGCGCCCAAAGATATACCATAATTATCACGCGCATAGATATCATACTGTTGACGTTTTTGTGAAATTGACAAGCCTTTTTTTTGACCAGATGACGACAGACCATATTTCGAGCAGCGCTATGGGGAAGTTTCTGCACTGTATTATTAATGCATAGTTGGTCCCGAGAGCCTAAAACGCAGACTTTGGGGCTAAACAAAAATATCAATGTGGTTTTTAGATTTAAGAAAAGCTGCAGTGATGCACGTTCATGGCTAACCTGTACGCAGTTGCCTTCAATTGATTAACTGCCTGCGACAATTGCGAATGGGTACGAGAAGCATAGTATATTGTGGGGGGAGGCCTAGTATAATCCTCTATAAAATCAAATTCGTTCGTAACATACATGCATTACGTTATCTTTAACAAGAACATAATGGATACAATTTTACAATTTTAATTTTCTTACCTTTCTCTGGTGAAGTCGATACCGATGTATCCAAAGAACGCCGCAAGTCATCATTAAAATTGTCCATTAAACCTCGCGAAAGAGCCTGAGCTAGTTGCCGACGGGCTAGATACGCTTCACGCCAAGCAAGTGTGGCACATAACAAACACAACGTCTTTCCGGTTCCAGTTGGACTTTCCAAAAGCGCGTTTGCGCTTGACTGCAAGGCAAGGACGACTTTTTCCATGAATACCTCTTGGCATTTGTATGGATCAAACGGAAATTGGATAGTAACGGATTTTGCGACATATTCACGCATGTTGACCAGCTTGGCGAGGCGAAAGTAATTCAGGTAAAAGCTTGCGGTGAATAATGAACGACGATCATCATGACACGCCGATAAACGCGTTGAATAACTTATGGTCGCACAATGCATCCAAAAGGGGATGTAGGCTAACAATTCTGGCAATCGAAACCGAATCTCCGGTTAATGCTCACATACAAAAGACGTATTCATAGAATTCACAATTGTAGAATCTATACTGCCTTCTACAACGCAGCATTTTGATTGTAGTCCGGAGCAGATAATTGGGCCTACTGGGTTAACTTAATTCAATGACATACCGTAATTTTCTATTATATTGCTATTTTTCTTTTCCCAATTCCTTCATTCTTGTTTCTCTTTATTCCACCATCCATTTATCCCAATCTTTAGGGATTTCAGCTTTAACATCCACCCATTCTCCATCTACCCCAGGCATAGGAAATTTAATTCTACAACTTTGCAACGCCAGTTCGGCATCAGGATCGTACGCGTTTCTTCTTCGTAAATTTTCGTATACGTAATCTCCCACAATGGGAAATCCCGCTTCAGCCAAATGTACGCGAATCTGATGAGTCCGGCCTGTGTGCAATAAAAGATTGTACAGAACCGTCTGAGAAGTAGGATATATAGAGTCAAGATAGAATGATGTGGAAGAGGGTTTGGAAGAAGGGTAACGAGGTGGAACAGAGTGGGCAAAGAGAGAGTTGGCAAGAGATGTAGAATGCAGAGAGTGAGGAAGTTTGTTGTGGTGGAAGGTTAGATGGGTCAAGTGAAGGGGAGAGAGTAAAGTCAAGGGAGACATTGTGTCTTTGTCTTCCATAGTGGGACTATCGATGGTGGTCGTGTTGGAATCGACTTGTTCAGGTGATTGGATTTTGTAAGGTTGGATTGTTGCTGGTGACCTTGAAACAAAAAGTTGCAATGAGTTGTTTTTTACAATGCTTTGTTTCGTTTTACATTCTCATACCTTGTTATCCAACTATGCAACCTTCCACTCTTTGCTAATCGTCCTGCTGGTGCAATCATAGTTCCTTGCAGATAAAGGGATTGCCTTGGCAGTTGGCTCATATCGGTTGGAAGTCTTACTAACGCTCTATACCTTGAATGTTAACGATCGTTTCAATAGACATTCTATAACCCATCAGTCGCGATAATACCAATCAATTGTGCAAACCATTTCTTCCATTGATCGTTTCTGAGCGAGTTTGCTAGAATATTTGCTGTCTCTGGGTCAAATGCCAAGACGAGCAGGCCCTTTCGAATAATGGTCGAACGTGAGTTTAATAAAAGCTTTGGCGTGAGCGTCGACTTTGTCTACCTGTGTGAGTTTATCCAGTCTTTTTCGCATACAGAATAGAGAGTCTCTGTTATTTTGTGAGCTAGGTCAAAGTCAATTATAGTATTGCAATTACCTATGGACATTGTACACGCGTTGTCCCGCTTGCAAGTGCTTTTGGGCTTCTCCGTTTATTGTTGGTCTATTCGAGTCATTGTGCTGGACTGTAATGCCTGTGTTTGTCCGTTATTTTGTAATCCGTCGTTATGCTCGATATTATGATGCGAGCACGACCGAATATCATACCTGGTGGTTTATAGCAAACGCAGAATTTCTCTTTCCATGACCCATATACCAATCTAATGTTTATCGGGTTCCTTCCTGACATTTGTTGTCCGCGAATTGTGGCTTTGCAGATGTTGATAATCTAACCAACTTTTATTAGTGTTATTAAGGATACTACAATTATATTATTGTATTAAATGTCTAGTAGAGTCTTTGTGGGTTGAATGCTATCATCAATGTCCTCATAATCTGTACATTTACTCGTCTGTTCTTAACCCACGAACAAATTAGGGTCTATTATACTTGCATCACGTTCGTGTTCTGTCCCCAATCTGGTAAGATTCCAGTTATCTTCTATATTTACAAGTAGGCTATAGTGATTATAATACGATGCATCCTCATGTATACGAGGTCTTAATACATTTGGGCCAATTAATAATGTAAAGATATGGTTGATAGTAGCAATCTCGATTAACGATGCTGGCTCATCATACGTTATTATGAGAAGTGTTCTAGATGACGTGAGAATTGGCTGAAGAATTGGCATTAAAGCGTAACGTATGTAGTTTGATGTGTATGTGACGTTTGTCTCATGACCAGAATGCTTAATATTCGGTCTGCGAGATTACCCAAAAAGAAAAGAAAAAAAGTCAGTGGATTGATGCCCACGAGATTAATTGGATGAGCAAGTAAAGTGGATCATACTTACACATAGAAGCAGTACTCGGGTACATCACCATTCTCCATGTCCGTTTTCAGTTGATCAGCGTTTACTATCTTGGCCACCATGTCTGGATTTTCGCGTATGTTTGTCATTGATATGAATGGATTATGCTTTCTGTAATATAAATTCTGCTCGTCATGCGAGTCCGTAAATCCATCCCCTGTAGTAAAAGTATACAATGTTCGTTACGAATACACGTGATTATTCAAATACATGCTGTTACATGATTGACGATATGTACCTGGATAGTTCTCCATATATGCCTTCCATGTAATATTTCTCTCTTCTAATCTTTCTGGAAGAGACGGACCATCCACGTCCGAGTCTGTATTAAAGAGCTGCATTTTTATCAAGACGGTTAAAGGCGACTGTTACAATCACTACTCATGGGATCACATAAGAATCAGTGTGCCGGATTATTCCATGATTCATAATGAAGATAAATAAATAACCTTTCTCACGTCATAGTAATGCTTACCACTCCTCCCTTGTTACCATGGATCATTGCTATATAATTTGGTTGAGACGGTCTCCATATTGCGTGAGAATTTGATAAAAGAATGCCTTGCTCAGCCTGCAAATAGATCAATGTTATTAGAATATGACTCGACGTAGCATACATTGTCAACACGTAAGGGGAGCTTACAAGATAAGAGAAATATGGATCCGCCATTACATCACTGTAATCCGTACTGGAGAGAACGACTTTTATGACCCTGAAAAGGCATAAACGGCATGTCCTTAACACAAATGCTCTTGAATTAGAATCTATATGAACGTGTCAGATCTCACCTCTCATAGTAATTCCATATACGGGGTGTTTCTTCTCCTTTCACAGCAAACGACACTATCGACAGCAAAATACACTTGACTAATAGACTTGTCACTATCATTTTCTGAAACAGAATTATTCTACGATGTTTTTGCGTGGGCAACGTAACCCTATTTATCAATCCGGGACATAGCAACAAAAATATCACGCCGCGGAATATCTTTTCGACTTATCAAGTATCAAATTCCCAGGCGCAGTTAGGTTAGATCGACGATCCTTCACGATTTTCGTCCCCACCAAGATAATAATAAGGACTTCATAATATAGTGATATACGATCTATATATAATAGCCGATTCCCACAAAGTATTCCCGAATGAGTTGACATTTTTGTCCAAAAGGAGCAAGCATTCGGGGAAATGCTATATGAATGAACGACTAGAGACTTTCGTTCACGTGTACTTGGTGTAATGCCCAAAATAAAAAAGAAAATGTGGCAATGTTTTTTTATTATTACGTCCCATTGTATTATTATGCTTGCATTATGATCATCATGGGCCATATATGCGCACATGTTTGCCAAGAAATGATTGTCTAGAACGCTCGATTTGTAATAATTTGGCCGTTTCGAAATTGTCACATCGCAATAATCTAATGCACTAATAAACATAACGTTAATGACGTCAAATGGTGACTATTTCGAAATGGCCAAATTATATGATAATTTTGGCATTGATCCGATTGGGCAGGAATTGTCTCAATCGGATCACATAAACAACCATCATGCTATGCCAGATATGCAAATTAAGCATTGCTAAAACAAGACATTTGATTAGAATATAAATATATATTAATAACCACCTTTCCTGGTAATCGGTAATCACGACGTTCGTAAACATCAAAGGGAATATGTTATCAGAATGCGATTGATTGGATTCTCTAGCATGTAAATATTTAACACCTGATCTATGAAACTCCATATTAATAAGTCGAATCCTTATTAGGATAAAGCAGTCACAAAAAAAAACTTTGTTCAATTTTGAAACTCGCATTCTTATACAAACAAGTTGTTATAAACGTAACGAATTATGGTAACATAATAAAGCAGTCGACAATATAAAAAGAGAGGCATTAATATTAATGTGTATAGCACACTCTCATATTGAATAAAGTGACGAGCAATGTTTTAAAAAGTTGGTCTTATTCACCCACCTAAACACTCCCTTCTATTTATCATTTTGTATGCTCCAATAATGCAATAGAATAAAGATGCTATAGTTATTGAGACATTAACCAGCATAGGAAGGGTCTTCCACAACCTTACATAACATGCTTTATTTTATCTCGTAAAGCTCGCGGTGCTTAAATCTTTTACATCGACCCTGGTTAATTATCTGAGCGAGAAAAGTATCGAAAGTGATATTAAAAGTGATATTAATATTAAAAGTAGGATTATTTATGGTATACGTACGTAACAATAATACTAACATACAATCATTCTGTCGTTCGACACGTTTCAATCAAGTGATATTAATATAAACGGGGTCAATAATATGATCCCTGCAATGTCTTGCACATCGTATGATTTGCCATATATATCAGCACACACAGGATTGATCAATCTCAATCACTAACATGTCACATTCCAGTTACTTCCTATTCATCCGTTATCGTTATCTACACCGCATTGTTCAACGTAGATGAATGCTGTAATTTCCCGCAACTTGCGTTCACGTTTGTCATCCCACATCAGACATCAAATTAGATTATACTCGGCTGCAACAGACTTGCGAAGGACGCGCGAGGAGCTGAGGAGTTTGGGATGTGGTTCTGTCGACTTTGATACAAAATTCGCTCCTGGGATCGCTTTGATTAGTCTAAGGTAGGATAAACCCGAGGCGGCCTAGTAGGAAAAAGGAAGAAAGAGGGAACGAGGAGAACGAGCTATATGGCCCGCATAGTATAGCTTTCCTGAAAACCATGACTCATTTAAAGGAACCCAGGACGACACAACGCATTGTGTGGTAGAATGATGGCTCAATTGGCAGATGCAGTCGATAAATTACAAAGTATAATTGAAGGGAAAGTGGAATCAGAGGAAGAGAGTGCATTGGTGGCCGTTATATTGACTGGAAGTGGAAACAAGTCTTTTTGCTGTGAGTAATCCTGCACATATAAAGATGAATAATAATCCATCAATGCATAGATGTTTGGTCTTATAAGATGTGGTTGTTTTACGAGTTTACTCACATATCGACAACGCCTTTTCCTCTTCCGCATTCTCGCCTACTACAAACGAATTCTCTAAACCTCCTTCAATCACACATGATGACTATAGCCGGATTAGGTAACATCTGATGCTTTTTCATCGCCCAATCCTCCCTCTTTTTCTTCTTCAACAATCCTCATTCCTCACTTATGCTATCACATAATCAAATTAATAGACTTGAACATAGCAAAAGATCACATAAACGATTCAACAAGTGCCGCAAAAATGGGTAGCGTCATGCAAGACACTCTGCTACGGTTCTTTCGGCTTCCTTTAGTATCAGTAGCAGCTATTGAAGGTTACGCACTTGGCGGTGGAGCGGAATTGACGACCAGTTGTGACTATCGAATCTTGTCGCACTCGGCTGTAGTGCGGTTTGTGGTATGGTTGATATGGGGCAAGATTGCGTAGAAAACTTGGGGGAAGAATGATTGGTATTAATTGTATATTAAATATATTATCAATTGTGGTAATGGTGTTTGGCGACAGTAGCAAGTCAAGATGGTGAGTTTTTGTTTTGAATACAATATCAAAACCAAGATGGGAAACACAATCTCATAGAGTATGCTAATTATATATTAAAATTTTATCGTCAACTGTTCCGTTAGGCGACCTCGACTGTGTGGGGCGGAGGAGCAAGACTGGCTGGAATTGTCGGTCGTGCAAAGGTAAATCTCTTCATCCCGAATGCCCCCTTCTCTTCTGGTTCGTTTCTCTATCTTGCTCAATCGCAACTCGCACTGTTCAACTTTTTTTTTTTACCAATCCAGGCCCTAAAGCTTTTAGCCACAAGCGGCGAAATCGCCGGCCAGTCGGCCCTCGACATGGGTTTTGCCAACACACTCTCTGAATCCGGCGAATCCGTCTCGAAATCCGTCGAATTCCTCGATCCTTTCGTTTACTTCCAAGGACCGATGGAAGGAGAACATGGTTCCGTAAGGAAGAGGAATTCGGTGAAAGCCGTGAGAAGTATGAAAAGTTTGATCGCGTCAGCATCGATGGATCCGTTGGGGGTCGTAAAGCAAGTCGAATTCGACCTGTTTTGTGGGCTTTGGGGAAGCGGTGAGAATAAAGAAATTTTGGAAGAATATAAGCGGCGGAGGGTCAAGGAATAAATCGGATGTGATGAGAAAATGTTGGAGGCTTGAAATGCATCTTTTAGTGCAACTAATAAAGATTGTACAAAGACACGAGAGCGGTGAGAAATAGAGTGAGCGGGAAAGTAGTGGTCACTTTTTATGAGGAAACCCATATTTTATTGTGAAATCAATTCCAAAAAATGGCAACATGACCAACCATTTGATGCCCATGCATACGCTACATTTATTTTATATACAACCATTTTTTACCGAGTTTCCCTCCTCACCCTTTTCGCCTCATTACAATTTATCTAATATGGCCTTCGTCACTTGATCAGTAGTAGATCGTCCGCCAATATCCGGCGTGAGCACACTTCCTTCTTTAATCACTGCATCTACAGCGTTATAAATCGAAAGTGCCTCATCCGGATATCCGAGATGTTCTAGCAATAACCCAGCACTCCTGATTGCTGCAATTGGGTTTGCTTTATTTTGCCCGGCTATGTCTGGAGCTGAGCCGTGTACTGAAAAAGGAGAGGAGTGAGCGAATATATGTATACTTCAATGAAACGAACGATATGGCAAAAGTAAAAAAAGATGATAAAGTACCTGGTTCGGTGAGAACAAACTTGTCTCCAACGTTAGCACTTGGAACCAAGCCAAGGCTGCCTACTAGCGCTGCCGCACCGTCACTATAGGAAAGAAAGAGTACGCTTAGAAGAGAAACGTCACTTTTAAACTGAACGAGAGCGTTGACGCTGTTTACCTGATAATATCTCCATACATATTTGGCGCAACGACAACGTCAAATGCTTGTGGTTCGAGGTACATACGATAGCTATGATCATTGTATGTACAAAATTATTAAGTAATCTCTTTATGAAACTACGTTTCGAGACTCGTTTACGACAACCCGTTTTTTCCGCAACTTACACCATCGAATCCACCAACTGCTCGTCGACATCAACATTCTTATATTTCTCGTCACTCGCCACCTGTCTAACAGTCTCTCTCCACAGTCCATCTGTAATGCTGAGCACGTTACTTTTATGAACGATCGTCACTTTCGGCTTGCCCTTCCAGACACGTTGGTTGAGAGGAACAGACTGACGAAGACGGTCACGCTTGAGCGCGCTCTCGAACGCGACTTTGCCGCAACGACGGGATGCGTGCTCGGATATTTTGCGGGTCGCGTAGGCTACTTTTAAAGAAGACGTCGGATCAGTTTCGATTTTTTCTTGTTTTATGTACTACGTGCGAGAAAAGACGGGATTAACGAAAAGTGAGTCGAATGAGAATGTAACCGTGAGGAAAGAAAAGACTACGTGTCGAGATAATAGTATACCAACCAGACATTCTGTGTTCTCTCTAATTATCAACATGTCGACAGGCTTTTGATTAGCGTTCTGTGCAGACGTAACAGAAACCGCCGGTCTTATGTTCGCATACAAATCAAGCCTCTTGCGCATGCCAACTATTGGGGACGAGTATCCTTCTACTCTATGCGATGGAGAACTACAACGAAGGACAGCAAAATTATTATAAATTGCGAGTTTCTTTACACATGACTGTTAGTGCTCCTCCCGCATTCACACCTGACGGCACCAAATAAAGCCCCATCGCAAGCAGTCTCTAATGTTTCTACAGTTTTTTCGGGCAAAGCCTTGCCTGTTTTTTGGAAATGTTCGAATCCTGCATCCAGATTTATGAATGAGAATTGGAGCGGTCCTTTAAGTGATTCGAGAACTGCAACAGCAGCCTAATGTGTAGAAATTATTTAGCACTGAATGTATCTGAATCCACATAGCAGTAGTCTTTAATGCTTGATAATATACCGGAGTAACCTCCTTCCCTATTCCATCTGCAGGAATTAATCCAATTGTCAACTTTGTCTTCTTTGCAGCTGTTGTTAAAGCTCTTCTTAGCATTTTTCTCAATTCGTATTAATATTAATTAATGTTTTATGATCGACAAACTATTTAATATTTGTCTGATAAGATTGATCTAATCAATCTAAGAAATTGAACATGTGACATTTGTATTTAAAATATGTTGTTAGTATCAGAGATAATGTAGCCAGGATATTTATCATTGCGCAATATTATTATATTACTGATCAACACATTACGAGATGGCTCTATGAATATTACCTTCGTTGGTTGTGCACCTACATCTTATACTAAGCAAATCTTCGCCCATGATGTCAGTGTCAGATGATCCAGACGTGGCGAGTTACAATATTATTTAAGACGCACCCAGTGAGACTGAATTTAATGTCATCAATTTCCGCTGGTGGTATGTATGGTACACCCAAAGAATATAGCGTAATAATTATATAAGAAGCGTACAATTGTATTGTTGGAATGTGTATTGACATGTTGGAATGTGTATTGACATGTCCGATTCTGTTGAAAAATAGAATACTATAGTTGGTACGTACGTAGCAGTCTTAGTAGTAGTGAATAGTCGTCTACGTAAAAATTCATTCAAGAGCGAAATCTAAGATTAATCGCTCTTTCTTCCTTCAGTTAAGGAATTACATTAGTATAATTTCTCTCCTTATTGCAACAGGGTTATCGGTAAAAGGGTCGTTTCTTTAAAAAGAATCCAGCATTACATTGAATTGTTCTGAAGGAACTGGCTCAAAAATAACGCCAATAAAATGCGTCATTCCAGTACCGTTGCTGAATTTGTGTTCTTAGTGCAAAAATGAATTGTGCTGGACCGTACATGTAAAGGGTCCAAAAACGCGGAGTGTTATGTTATCCTCGTGTGAATCCACGATGGCGAACTCGGGTGGATTGGCAGATAAGCTAGATATAATGTTGAAAATTTACCGTTGTATCAGTAAAGTATGCTTTCGCATTCCCCGAGTATTTTCACGGAGGAATGTGAATTTCTTATTCCTTTAATTCTATCAGAACGAGGGCGAGCAGTGAACGTGTCAAAGAAAAATGAATATAGAATGCTTGCGCACGTTGTGTAAATGTGCGATGTAACACAACTGTTATAATTTACCTGTCAGGTCGCACAACCTGATACGTCGTACAGTCCATAATATTTCTATTTATGGAGGAGTATTTGAGCCTGCACGACCTGCAGGTAGGTAAATTCCCGATTATCTGAACCGGAGATTAACCCCGAAAGATATTATTTTATAAGATTGTACTCCGAATCTCTCTCCGAAATTGTTGCTCGAAAAAACTTTTTTATTCAAAACAATGGCTAGCGACTTGGTCCAATCCTTCTCAGAAAGTGAATATATTAGAGAGCTTAAATGGATTCATTGCTCGCAAATTACCAACATAACGACAAGTCAATTTTCCAACGCCTACTACGCAGTAATGAGGAGGACAACCGTCATGTTACTATTACTTGGAAATAGCGAAGAATGTACACAGACATTTGTATATGAGTTCGCCAGAATACACTCACGTCCGACACACAAGTACGATGGTAATAGCAACAACTTCAGAAGATATTCCATATGGCTTAAACGTCGCAACGCAAGCATATATGGATTCACCGAGTACGACGGTAGCTATTACATGGTTGCCGATAGAAGGTTTTACCATTATTATTCTCGATATGGATTCTGCTCCGCATGTGGAATACTCCGATGTAGTCCAGTGTGGTGCATCTGTGGCCGTAAAGAATTATCCAACGGATGGACTAGCAACAATACGCAACTTGATGAGTTTATTAAGAATTCTCAATTACAAACAAACTCTGCAAATGAACCCTATTTGGAGTGGATTCCATTTGATTGTATTGATAGGTTTACTATTACTAATGATGGTGTGGCATACATTGATGGTCCACCTAATTGTGAAGAAGCTAAGTTGATTCCACTTGAGATAACTGATGAGACAGATAATTTATATTATAACGAGGTGACTATCAAAGATGAATATATTATGTTTATCCATTGTTAAATAAATATTGACCTATGTATCATTCCACTAGTTATGTGATGAGCATCCAGATATTCTTACCACAAATGTTTGGATTACCATTGGATTCACTTATGATGCAAGTATACAAAAGTATTGTTTAATAAAAGAAGGAGACGAGGTTGGACTATGTCTGGCAAATGCTTGCCAGTTGAACCATCAAATTCAGACATTCTGTTATGAGTGTAAAGCACCAACACCTCTTGATTGGACTACAGGCAACAAGTCCTTGGATTCATTTATAATGAAGTCATGGAATAATATGGCAAGTGAAAATGATGCCTATATACAATGGATAGAATACTCTTCATTGACAAATGTACAAGAGATGGCATCATTACGACATGGATGCACACATGTAGCAGATTGGTTAGAGCAAACAGCAAATGAACCAACAAGAGTGACACTCAAATGGATAGCTGATGGATGGAATGCTCAGGCATTTGACTTTTATCAGGTAAATTATTTTACATATATACAATGCAAAATAGTATAATTAATTTAAGTGGCATTGTGTGTTTATGTTTATATATATAGTCAATATTATTATAACAACCCTGTATTTGTTTACTCAAATAGCTGACTAAAGAACATCCAAAGATATTAAACCCAGACAATGTCTGGGTTGTTGGGATCACTCTGTCACCATCTACCAAAGAATATTATTTAGTTTTCTACCATGAAATACATGCAATATTAAACAGGTTCATACGACTTAGTCCAAGTATTAATGAACGTGAAGATATGCAGTATAGTGACTTTGATGAAATTAAGGAGATTGGATCTGGGAGTTATACAACAGTCTATACTGCCAAGTATAGAAATTCAGAAGCACAGCGTATACCAGAAATGGTTGTCCTCAAACGTTTCAAGCATTTTGATGAAGCAGAAGATCTGCTTGTTAACGAGGTAAGCAATTTTGATAGTATTGATAAATGGGTATTTAATATGAAGCTGACTCTGTATTTATTTTTATTTATTAGTTCAGAATTCATGTAAAGTGCATGAACCAAGCTTCCACATATTCACTCTCATTCCTATCAGTGTATGGAGTCATGCAACACCCAGAAACAAAAGAGTACATGATTGTTATGGAATATGCTAATAATGGTAGCCTCTTGTCTTATTTGGATCGAAATATTAACAACCTGACATGGAGGATGAAAATACAACTTTTGGAAACCATTGCAAATCATCTGCATCATATACATTTATCAGGATATGTGCATTGTGATCTTCATGGTGGAAACATAGTTTTGCATAACAACAATCCATTCATTTGTAATTTTGGTCTTTCACAGCAGTGTGAGTTGAATATAAAATCAACAGTTCAAGGTAGTTTACCCTTCATTGCACCAGAAGTCCTCCATACACGCAAATTTACTCAACAATCAGATATATATTCTTTCGGTATTATCATGTATTTGATGGCCACTGGTGAAGCACCTTTTCAAGATAGACAATTTGATAAAAATTTAATACATGATATTTTGAGTGGACTACAACCAACAATGCCTGATTCAGCACCAGATAAATACAAGAGACTTGCTCAGCATTGTTGGGATGCTGACCCTGTCAAGCGTCCAAGTACAGGTGAAGTTTGTGTCCTTCTTAATCAGATGAAAAGGATTGATTTTGATGACAGGATATCTATCATATCATACAATATAAGGCTGTTATCTTGAGAAGGAGAGTAATCATGCTCTTACCTACTGGAGACCATACAATTGATTTCAAAAGCTATTCTGCAAAAATAATAATATATACAAATATGACTGTACCAGATTTAAGTTCAGAAATAAGGTTAGGGAAGGTAGATAAGATGTAGGGAGATCATACAAGTATAAAAAGACAAGAATTTGGACCACATATTAAAATAAAGTCAATTTACATCTTTGTTATATGTTATCTTACAATTTAGTGACTGGATATTTGCAATTTGCTTACCTATATTATATACCTCTTCCAATTAAATGTGCTTGTCATAAAAACATGTCCCATGACTAGTATGTGTCGAGACGGGAGAGCTGAATGACACGCCTACTAAAAGCTGAACCAGACTGACGGTTAGTGACCTTTCGTTTAGACTTACGCTAACGGCACTTCCGTTTGCCGGATCGCGACACTAATCCTTAGACAATCAATTGCTCTCGAGATAAGTAGAACGACTATCTGCCGATGGATTAGTTCGACAGTCTGTCCGTTTTAAATACACTTAAATATTAACGCGTTATACTCAACAATTAATTCGCTACTCAGATAATCGCGGGACAAGAAGCGATTATCCTTCTCCGATAGAGGGATTAGTGATTCTATCTGTATCGAATAATTCAGGGAAATACGGAAAACAGTTTATGATCAGAGTAAATGCGATACTCGTTTATTGATAAGATAATAAGGAATCGGAATATTATAATTGGGACTTCGAAACACTTGAAACATAGCTAACTCCTGCTTTTATATCTTTCAAGCTACTAATTGTTATATTTTTAGCAACGTATTTCTAAGTTTCAGTTATTGGCTTGTTGCATTTGCCACTAAGTAATCGCCTTCATGCCTCCAATTGCAACGCTGAGATTTCAGCAAATTCGGGGAGACAACGTTCAAGCGAATAATTTCTTCGTAGAATATTTGCTTACATGATGATGATTCAAGCTTAATACATTGTAACTTATATTTGTTGTTTTCACCAAGCGTATAAAAAATAAGAAGTTTATAGTGCGAATATTACTGTATTATTATATAGCAGCAGAGTTAATATTAATGTCAAAGTATGCATTATTCTGATCTGGCATAACTGAGGTATGGCTGCATATAAACTCTCGTTTGTTTTTGCGTATATTACGCCTCACTATACCATCTGTATTAAAGATTTCGTATCGTATATGTTTCACAAAGCACGACTCAAAATCAGCTCGATTAATTGAATTGTAGAGGGTTAACATGTGATCGATTAAAGTTATTTATCGTTACATTCATTGATATGCAGTTAATATCTTTGAATTATTCTGCAATGTTCTTGTTGCAGTTTACAATCGGTAATTCAATACTATCATCAATTTCGCTATCGATGCACATCCGATGGTTTTCTGTATAATGACGACAAAAATGAACCGCTACTACGTACTATTCACAAAGACAGTTTAACGTTTCTCTGTTACGAACATCCTTTATCCGTAAATAAGACGAAAGCATACATAGCGTACTACATTTGATAAAGAGTGCTCTCATTAGCGCATTAGTAAATGGACAAATTGATGGGTAGGTGCTCATTTGCTCTTGCCAAATAAAGTAGAAAGATTTCTTAAATTATGCATTTATAGAATAAGGCTGTAGTAGAAACAATAATATAAATATCACCAACGCTTACTATGTCTGTAGTGGGTAATCCGTTATTTCGACTAATATTTAGTAGAACCTTAAACATCGAACCCATAAAACCAGTGAGTAATAATATGGATTAATTGGATGAAATGTTAATATTAAGACGGCAGGTAAACAATGCAATATAACACTAGGAACTTCTTAGTGGCCCCAGGACGTTAATCAGGTGATGTGTAACTATCGATCGAGCATTGCCAGCGGCGAACTACTGTTGCTTACGCGCCACCAATTTCATCCGAGCACGCCAAGCTCGAAAAGAAAATGTCAAGTATAGAGTATAGCAACATAAGACCAGTTTACTTATAACTAAAGAACGTACACTTAATAGAATTGCATAGCTATAATTGTTGATGCATTCACCTAGTGTAAAAACCGGCTTAGTAATGACTACCGACAAACGTTAATGGTGGCGACCTAAATAAATATACTTTACGATCATAATAACGGAGACCAGCACAAACCCTTCCTCCATCGTCCAAACCCACAGAGCAGGAATGGACAATCGGAGGTCGGATAAGACCGGTCTTTTAACCCGCCAAATATTTGGTGATTACAAGTGGACTGGAATCACCCAAATCCTATATTATCCTTACTCATTAATTTGAGGCAGTAAGAAGACGCCACCAAGCCTTTTATGTTGCAATAAATTTGCGGGTCTGGTCAGTTATGGGTCTAATATTAGCCAATAGGAGAGTAGTTTGATAAACAATGCGGACTATTCAATCATGGATTTTCTTCATCCGGTGAGATGACTCTTTATTTAGAACATTGCCTTTCAATTCGATTTGACCAAACATCAAACTGACAGAATGCTTGCAAGAGAGACTGGAATTTAGCCACATCATAATTGTACTACCAATCTATCACAGCTGATTCTAGAAAGCATAACTCTCTCTCTCTTTACTTACAATAAGTCTATATGATCGTAGTTGCTTATTAATAATTTCTAATGGCGGTTGTCTAACAACGGAAAAGCGACTCGCTATAATAAGAGGACTTTTACTGTAATGCACTGGTTTAGCATCACAAACAATCTACTACTTAATTCGAAACCATCGAATTTTTTGTGGGGAATGATAACAGAGGAAAGCAAAGCCAATAATAATCAGGAGTAGACGTAGCGTGTTCGTGTCATGATGAAAAGATGGTATAATTTGATACTGCTGAAAAAAAGACAAACAAAACCAAGGCATGGAAAGCATTTTGATGGACTTCACCCAGTGTTCTTTTTGACATATAGTATTATCGTTATGCCGTCGTCAGCTCTTGCCAGCAGGAGATCACATTTTCGCTAAAATTGTCAACGAAAAGAAATCGCAAATCAATAACCAGAGTCCTGATGGGGTTGTGAGTTATTTGAGTTGTAATTAATTCTGATCCATCCCATCGTTCAGCACTCTCTTGTCGTCAAACTGTTCACCACGCGCAATCACACATCACTCTCGCTCGCATCATCGACTTCCATTCTAACGACTCTTTCCCGCCTACGATTTTCTCTCTCCGTGCCGCCATCAACATTCACATCGCCGTCTTCGAAATCCCACTCTGATTCGTCGTTATCCGTTCTGCCTTCATCAGCTTCTTCCTGTGAGTTAACATTGCGTGTACTTTCTTCTGGTTTTTTATGTTCGAGAATGATTCTTGAAAAGTTGATTCTCTTGCTCGTGTGACAAATATAGTTCAGGTCTGAGCATCTGGACGAGTCTGGATCTATGAAAAGATTCATGAGAAAAGGGATATGTTTGTAAGAAGGGTTATTCGAGTTCCAAGAAAAAGAAATGTAGGGTTTCGACCAACGGTTTCTCTAATTTTATTAGCGATTTGAATACCTAATTCTTGTGTAAATAGCAACGTAGTTCCCACTTGATCATCAAGCTCGCCTCTGTATTGTTGACCTGCTACCTCTAAATATGGGGTATCCGTGTCTAGGCCCTAAAAATTCGAGCGGGAATGAACATTCGTGCGGATGAAAATACTGACTATGCACTCTTTTGCGGGCATCCTTGCATACAATTAGTGAATATCCTTGATTGTGGTCGAGTGATTGTAGCATTTCATTTGTTAGTTCTGTTCCTACGTCGAGGATCAAGTACGATACCTAATAAATTGGGGGGTAAACCCTCCTTCAGCATAAAGCTCGTTGTATAACAAAAGATCCCCCCTCCTCCCACTTTTTTCAATAATATGAATTTCACCTCGTCTTCGTATTCGCTTTCGGGCTCATCTGAATTTCCATTTCTAGTTTCCGTATGTACACCTCTCTCTTCCGCATCTATGTTGTAATCGCTCATTTAGTATTGGCAAAAAAAGAGTACAAACAAATCACATTGAATAATTAAGCTATAAGTAGACTTTCATTTTATTGCATCATTTCATGTTTGTATCACAAAGATGATCGATCCACAAACAATTTTAATTTGACTTGACAGTTAGCTTCACTTTTTTGGCGTTCAATTCATTTCCTTTTATATAGGTCTTTCAACGTTTACTTACTTGTTAGTATTTCGTTTTTGACTTGGATGTGTTGTTTGAACACGACTGAAAGGCCGTTGCTACGTTTCATGACATACTTGTATGTTTCTCCCTTTTGGTGATTATCCCTGTAAGTTTTCGCTGTTGTAATTAGTGTTTTTGTTACCGTGGTTTGCGGAAAGGCAGACTGCTGTTGCATTCTTTTAATGCAAAGGCTTCGTTAGCGATTTGTCTTGGGAGACAATCTGCACTTTAGGAACAATCAACTGCGCAGGTAATGTTTAAACTTGTTAATCGTAGGCGTGTTCTCTAATCAAACTCGTTTTTGTACAAACGTTCCCAATTTGGATTGTCGAGAAATCGTGAATATAGTGATTGTTATGAGTTGTTTGTCGAATTATATTTGACGTCATAACTTTTAATTAAACCCGATCGGATGAGGGCAGAGAATATTCCTATAAAATATAAACATGAACTTTTGAATTTGCTTGCTTGCATTACATCTGGTTCCCAAATCTATTACTATAATTATATACACACCGACACACATGATTCGACATGTGGTTTTGTGATACATCAAAAACGTGGAATATTTTTAACTTCTATACGATTTTTGTTAACCTACCTGTAACCCTAAACTGCCTGCCTACGTCTTCTCTCATCATAAATAATATCAACTCTCAGTTCCTTCTACTCCTTCCTACTACTCCTTCCTCCTCCTCTTCCTCCTCCTGTCTCTGTTTTCTTTACATTCTATAGAGAGCTAGTCTCGTCGTAATGGAGAGCATACCGATATTTATAGTTTGTACTTTTTTTGTCATATTTACCCTGATTCTACATACATATCTCACCTGGTCTAGTAAGAATGATGATTTTCCGAGATTGAAGGGGAGGAGTATTCTATTGTTATTTGCGCATCCCGATGATGAGTGTATGTTCTTTGGTCCCTCGATTTTGAGTCTTTCGCAGAATAATGATGTTATGGTGCTATGCTTGTCGAATGGTAAGGGAGAGAGAGAGAGAGAGAGAGAGAGAGAGAGAGAGGGTCTGCAAATGGGAGCTTTTTTGTTGTCTATAACGTAATTGTAGTATCCACCCGACAAAAATGCAAACATCGTCTACTTGACTTTAACATGTATTATTCAACCGTTAGGAAATGAATCGGGCCTTGGACGTATACGAACGGAAGAGTTGGAAGCTAGTTGTAAGACGCTTGGGATAAAAGAAACTTATGTGAATATTGAAAATCACGCGTAAGTTGTTAAAACAGACAAAATAATTCCGGATTAAAGTACCGTAACTTATTTGTTTGTGCTCACTGTTTGTTATTCTGTTAGGGCTTTACAAGATGATCCAAGAGTACATTGGGATCCTGAGATAATATCCGACATTCTGAAGGATTATGTTATAAAGAATGGAGTTGATACAGTGAGTATGATCGAATTGCTGTTGTTGTTGTGTTGTTGTTGATATTATCGTCATTGCTATATAATTGTTTATCAGGGATGGAAAATGAAGTATATTATTTATTATTATCGATAAGTAACCTGTTTCTATTCTCCCCTTCCAATCAGATTATAACATTTGACGACCAGGGAATCTCGGGTCATCCAAACCACATATCATGTTATAATGGGGCCAGGTAAAACCCCTGCATAAAAACTTTATCGTTTCTTCTCGTCATTTGCAAATTTATTTATGCCCCACCCCTTTTTTTTTTTTTTTTTTTTTGCTAATCAGGGCATTTACCAGGAACGTGTCAACGAGTGACTTTCTTATATACAAACTCAAAACCGTCAATGTATTCCGGAAATACATTTCACTATTTGACCTAACTTATACACATTACAACTATCGTGTCGCTGACGGGAAGAAGAAAACGAATGGAATTGTCAAGCCACTGGCACCACCTGATACAATGCTCCTTGTATCAAGTTTCGGGAACTACATCAAAGCGCGCGAAGCCATGAAGTGTCATAAGAGCCAATTAGTTTGGTTCAGATATTTATATGTATTGTTTTCGAGATATATGGTTATAAACGAACTGGAACGTGTTCAGTAATATTTATTTTGTAGTAAAAAAAAAAATAGATTATAATACAAGAATAGTCATCGGCGAAAGTAATGGCGATTGTCTCCTTTTTTGTACTCTTTTTCTTTTTTCTTTTCCTTTATAATATCTGAACGAGATTTTGATTGATTTTATGTTAATATCTAATACTTGGTATCGCCTCAGGGTAGAGTTTTACCAGATTGGGCATGCATGCCTTTTATTACTATATCTGGTTTCAAACGAATTCCTCGATAGGGTTAAAGTTCTGTGGGTATGAAAGAAATTTCCATGAAAAAAATTTTGTCGTTCATTTCGTTATCACAAAGATTGCCGGTTTTTGGAGTGAGAAAGGCTTTTTATCTCGCGGACATGTGCTAGTCGTGTATTCAGACGCTGGGTCGATCCTGTTTTATTCTTCGTCAAGTGTCGTTGGAGAGACCGCTTTGTCATGCTGAAATATTGTATTGAAGGTTTTGGCGATACAGAATGCGGTAACAAAAATGTTTAGCTAGACAGTGTATTCGTGGCTATCCTTTTCTTGGTTTCATTGGGGGAGCAAAATGACACACGAAATGCAAAAAGTTTGATCTGCTCATAACCTATTTATTTTGGGTATAGAGACAACATACTCGGCAGTTTTTAATTGTCTACAAGCCTTTTTTTTTACTCACAAGTCAATAATGCCATGTGTTGAGAAAAAAAGATAGCGCCGACAATAGTTTTACTACGCGGATATAACAAAGTGGTTCCATTCTATCCTTTTTCTTCGTTATATCCACTTTGTTTCATCTTAATAGAAAGTTATATACAATTTTATCATAATAAATTTAGACTAGAAGCAAAACTGATTTTATTCAAGATGCTCGTTCGGATAGAAATTTACTGCATGGCGTTTATTCACAACGCGTTTGCCGCCTCATTGTCAATACATGATTTAGACTTGTTCGTGTAAAGTACGTGCATACTTACTTACAATAATGGGAAAGATTATTAAAAATTCCGAGTTTAGGAGGTAAATTTTGAGAATACAAAATAAAATCATGTAAATTATTAGCAATGTACTTGAACAATCAATAAATATTTTTCGTATCATGGTGATAAAATTGGTTATTTTAATAAGAGCAATGTAATCACTGTGAAATAATACTGGATTTAGCGCACATATAGTAATACATACACAAAAAATTGCGAGAACCTATTGAGGGAAACAACGTTTCTGCTTCGAAAACATAATTACTCAATCTTATGTTAATATTCTGCAAGATCGTATTCCTGTAATCAAGCAATGCTATTGGAAATAAATTGGCGGTTTAAATTAACCAAGTTATTCCTTAGGAGAATGTCCTCCAAATTATGGACTGGCCCTAACGTGAACCCGATCGAATACTTGTTAAACTGTAAATAAACCGTGATACAAGTTTATTCAAGAGTTTGAGTCACTAAATTATAGAACAATGAAACATATCAATATTGTAAATTGACTTCATTTATATCAACATGTAACCAGATGCTGTCTTCATACCTGCAGCTGAATTCAAATCGTAGCTGTTTCTCGGTTTAGGCAAATCTCTCCTTCTCGAGACGTTATAAGGGTTTTACATCATTATAATAAACGGAATTCCATGTGTTGTCATCAGAACTGATCTTTCTAATAAGCTTGTTAATATCATCCCAAAGTATATATGCATCTGGACGCTTATCAGGATCAGCATCACAACACCGCTCGGCAAGTTTCTTGTATTCCTCTGGTACACAATCAGGCATCGATGGTCGTAGTCCATCCATAATCTCGCATATTAAACTTGTATCAAACTGTCTATCTCTAAATGGTAGTTCACCAGTGGCCATCAAATGCATAATAACACCAAAAGAATACACATCTGATTCTTGAGTAAATTTGCGAGTATGGAAGACTTCTGGTGCAATATTAATATAGGGTA